TACATTTTCTGTCTCTACCCGCTGAGGTCCCTGAGGGGCAACCGCACATACATCTCTATATGGTGGGGTGGCGGGTCACATAGACACACTAAATGTTCACACTTGTAGAAACAAGGTGAGGAGATTAGGAGTTTTGGGAAAGTTCCTACAACCTCACTACTGAAGATTCTTTGCTTGACCAAACATGAGCCAGACTCCTGAACTTTGTCCTAGGCCCGTCTGTGCACGTCCTTGTAAAATCAGTTTTTGCAAGAACCCCCACCCCCAGGATCTGATCACCCTCGCTGTCTGACCGGGTTCCTCATCCTCCACCCCCAGGGGGTCTGACCCCCCGGGCTCCCTCTTAGCAACTGGCTTTCCATCCTCTGCCCCGACGGCTCCCTGCCCGCAAAGCCCACGTGCCCCCCGCCGTGCTCAGAGCCAAGCACAGTCTCTGCCCACTGCAGAGCCCCATCGCCCGCTGTCTGTGCCCGTCGGGATGGTCCTGAACAGAGCCAGCCTCACTGTGCTTTAACAGGGGCCACCGAAGAGCTGTTTCATCGCCACTATAAATTTGCAGTGATCTCAGAATGGACTCACACGGGCTCTCATTCCTCACAGACCCTCCTTGGGAGCTGGGATTCCCAAACTGACCCGCATCAAGACGACAACAAGGAACCCATTTGCATGGGATCACGGACGGTCCAGCAAGAGGTGGTGACTTTCCTTCCACCGGACCAGGGCTGGCCTGTGACAACTTTCCCCACCCGAGGGCAGCTGTGAGGTGCGGTGCCCCGGGCTGAGCTGCCGTAGGCCGTGTGCAACTCCTGGCCGGAGCCCAGGAGGAGGGAGGCCCCCTGAGCCCACCCCAGGGGTGCGAGCGGAGCCATCCAGGACGAGCAGAGCGGCCAGCCACCAGTAGACACTTTTCGAAGGCCCAGACAATGCCAGGAGTCCCCAGCTGAGCCCTGCCTGGGACATGACAAAGGGCCATCACCGCAGGCACTAGCGAGGGGCTGTTTGTCATGCAGCCCCGGAGAACAGGCCTGTGCCGCCAGCCTCAGTGGGGTGTCCATGGCGGATGGGAGGCCCTGCTTTTCCTGGACGTGAACCTGTGAGTCTTCTCACTGTCAGCAGTGATACCACTTGTAAAGGATGTGATTGGCCTGGCACAGTGGCTCACACCTGTGGTCCCAGCACTCTAGGAGGCCGAGGCAGGAGGATTGCTTGAGGCCAGGAGTTGGAGACCGGCCTGAGTAAGGGCGAGACCCCATCTCTACAAAGAATAGAAAAATTAGCCGGGCATCGTGGCACACGCCTGTAGTCCCAGCTACTCAGGAGGCTGAGGCAGGAGGATCGCTTGAGGCCAGGAGTTGGAGATTGCAGTGAGCTACGAGGATGCCACTGCACTGTAGCTCGCATGACACAGGGAGATTCTGTCTCAAAAA